AGAGAGAGAGAGAGAGAGAGAGAGAGAGAGAGAGAGAGAGAGAGAGAGAGAGAGAGAGAGAGACAGGATCCTGTCCGGATTCTGTAAGTCCTTCGATTGAGTCAGCAGGTTTGTCAGTCAGGGGGAGTAGAGTCTAAGTGGTGAGGAGCGGAACCGCTGCTTGGTTGTGCACCTATCACCATGGTTGACACTCGTAGTGGGAAGAGTATTGCCCTCTCCGAGGCCGAGCAGGCCCGGATCGCCGCCCTTTTGAGAGAGAAGAAAGAGAAGAAAGAGCTCGTTAAACAGGCGAAATTGAAAGCAATCGCGGAGGAGCAGGCGGCGAAGAAGAAGAAGATAGAGGAGGAGATGATGAGGCTGCAAAAGGAGAAGATGCTGAGGTTGCAGCAGGAGGAGGAAGAGAAGAGGAAGGCTGCCGAGGAAGAAGCAGCAGCAGAAGAAGAGGAGGAAGTAGAAGACGAAGAACCCCTTGAGAGAAGGCGCAAGGAGGGAAGAGGCGAGGCAAGTGGCACGAAGGGGGAAGACACATGGATGGAAAAGAAGATTACAGAGTGGGTGGCTAATTTATCGTTAGGGGAGGATGAGGAGGCACAGTTGTACGTGCCGCAGGAGGAGAGAGAAGCGTTTGCCAGGGAGTTGGAGACGACAGAAGATCCCCTAGAACGCCAGACAACAAAAGATGAAAAGAAACTGAAATGGAAGTTGCAAATGATGAGGGAGAAGAAAAGGAAGAGAGAGGAGGCCAACAGGGTGGCGAAAGAAGTAGAGAGGGTTCAAGCCTGTAGACAGGAGGTGCAGACACAAGCTGATGTCCCCGCCAAATTGGATAAGATTCTAGGGTACCTAGAGATTTTGAGCAAGGCCTGGATAGAAGAACATCAGGCTGTCAAGGGTCAAGATGTGACCTTGCACGCCATCCGATCTGGGTTTAGAGAGTTCGCGCGCGACGTGGTGACCCACTTCAGGACTGAGGTTAAGAAACTAAAGGAAGGCGCAAAGAAGTTATATGCTGGCGCCATTGAGGGCGCCAAAGTTGTGGCCACAGTAGAGGCCGCCACACGTCCCCGCAAGGAGCATGTGAAGCTCAAATTTCCTGATTCCGACAGCGGGAAGAAGGACGATAGTTTTGATAATTGGGAGGCTAGCGTAAACACTTATGTTTATTTGCAGCATATTGCCCCCGAGGAGCAAGTCCTTGTGACCTTCCATGCACTGAAGGACGAAGCGGCTAGCTTCGCCAGGTCCCTTGCGCACGCTGCTGACTGCGAACATAATATGATCGCGTATTCCAGGCTCACCCCTCTCTCCACTTTTCGCTGACGTCACAAGAGGCGTCAGGGCCTCCGATAAACTCCAAACCATCCACTCGCGACAGTGGAGGAGTGCGAAAGCACTCAAAGCTGTCATGGACGACTTGGTAGTCGTCCCGGACCATGGGGTCACTGAGACCCAGTTGGTCCAGTTATTTTATCGTGCGATGCCAGAGCCCTTGAGAGGGCACTTCTTTGACAAGACCCAACAGCCCAGCATCACGTACGGCGCGTTGAGTAGGGAAGTGGTCTTATTCGAGGCCAAGTCCATGCCAGTTTCCACTTTCTGGCACAAGGACTTAGATAAGGGAAAGAAGTGGAAAGGTCGTACCATCTCTGGCCAGGTGAGGGCCAAGGATCACCTGAACCTTACCTTAGATGAGGGTGGTACTGACGAGGTCCCCTACAGTCAGATTGAGTGGGGACTTGAGGAGGACAGCAACGCAGGTCAGAGAAGGTCCTATGCAGTTGTCGCGGCTGGAGGGAGGCCGCAAGGTAGAGGAGGAGGCCAGGGCCAAAGGGGCCAGGCCATGGGAGGCCGAGGATCGGGCGCACAGGGGGTTGGCGGTCAAGGGAACCGTCAAGTGGGAGGTAGGGGTCAAGGTCCCCTTCCGAGTCGTCAAGGTCCCAGTCGGTCCCCACAGCGACGAGGTGGCAGGTCACCTCAAAGGTCAGGAGGTTGGCACCCAGGTTGGCCACAAGGCCGGCCTTGGGAAGACTTGGATTTGGATCAGAAAGTGTGGCAGCAACAAATGGAGCAGGGGCAGTGCATTTATTGCGGTGAATCCCTGCCCATATCATTAAATATTGTCCTAAGTATAGACAAGCCCGATGGGCTGCCCAGGAGTCAAAAGGCAGCAGCTGGTAGGGGTCGCAACTGCCCCTACTATTAGGTCATGTGGGGAAGCGAGCGAGCGCGTACAGGAAACTCCCACACCACATGTGTCTTCGGCAGAGGTTGCCGGCCTGTGCCTAGTTAGCTGTCCAGAGACTGCTTGTGTTAGCGTCTCTCTAGGCGCTTCCCTCACAGGCGTGGCAGAAGAGTTGAAGGAGAGGATGCCAGCCTGGGCCAAAACGAAGAAAGATTGTGAAGGGAAGCTAGTGTTAGTTGATGCAGAAGTTTTCAGAAGTAGAGTTGGGGCCCTTATAGATTCAGGGGCTACGCACAGTTATGTTAGTCATAGAGCGTTGAAGAAGTTGAGGCTGGGATTGAAAGTCCAAAAGTTAGAAGACCCCATAGTTAGTGTCCTCACAGACAACTGCACGATGCGTGTTGAGGACTATGTAGAGGGAGTCCAGGCGTACTTCCGCCTAGAGAAAGATGGGAAGGTGGAGAAAGTTCTCCATTCCCTAACTCTCGACCTTCCTTTTGACATAGTCTTGGGTATGGACTGGGGAGAGGCAGCAGGGGCCACACTCCACTTGAGAGAGCATGAGTGTAGGCTCCCTAGTCCGTCAGGCGAGGTTAAGACAACCCGTTTGTTTCATGTGTCAGGAGTAGACAACTCGCTGGCACATTGCTGTCTCAGTGCTCCCGCGTTCGTGGGACTAGTGAGAAAGGAGCAGTTGGAGGACCAGGTCTTTGTAGTATATGTTAGACCTATCACTGAGCCTAAGGAAGGGGATAGTTCCATGGATCCAGCCATTGCCAAGCTGCTGGAAGAGTTCAAAGACTTAACTGAGCCGCCGACAGGAGTAGTGCCGCGGTCGATCCAGCACAGGATAGAGATAGAGCCTGGCAGTAGAACTCCTAAGGGAGCAGTCTACAGGATGTCCCCTAGAGAGTTAGAGGAGCTGCGCAAGCAGTTGGACGAGCTCCTTGAGAAAGGTTGGATTAGGCCCAGTTCGTTTTGGAGCACCAGTTTTGTTTGTCCCCAAGAAGGAAGGAGAGTTGCGCATGTGTATAGACTATAGGTGTTTGAATGCGATTACCGTTATGCTGAACCATTGCCCAGGATAGACGATCTCTTAGATCGGGTGCAGGGTTGCAAATATTTTTCGAAGATAGATTTGAAGTCCAGGTATCATCAGATAGAGGTCCACCCTGATGACCAGTACAAGACAGCGTTCCGGACTAGATATGGGCATTATGAGTTCATAGTGATGCCCTTTGGACTGACCAATGCGCCAACTACATTTCAGCTATGTATGAATGATCTGTTTAGGCCTTGGTTAGATAGATTCGTAGTAGTCTACTTAGACGATATCTTAGTGTTCAGTAGGACCCTCCAAGAGCACCAGGGTCATTTGAGGCAGGTCTTGGAGAAGCTGAGGGAGGCTAACTTCAAGATTAATGCGAAGAAGTGCGAGTGGGCCAAGACACAAGTGCTGTACTTGGGCCACGTGTTAGACGGAGATGGCATTAAGCCTGAGGACAGTAAGATAGCGGCAATTAGAGACTGGCCAACGCCTCGCACGTTGACTGAGTTGCGGTCGTTCTTAGGCTTGGCTAACTACTATAGGAAGTTCGTGAGGAACTTTTCGACAATCGCTGCTCCCCTTCGCAGGTTGCTCAAGAAAGAGGCAATCTGGCAATTGGATAAGGACTGTACGTCTGCGCTAAAGAAGTTGAAGCGCGCGTTGATAGAGTATCCTGTCCTCAAAGTAGCAGATCCGTCCTTGCCATTTGTCGTCACCACGGACGCAAGTCAGTATGGGATAGGCGCCGTGTTACAGCAGGATGACGACAATGGCTACAGACCCGTAGAGTTCATGTCAGCGAGGATGCCCTCAGAGAAGGTTGCTACCTCGACGTACGAGAGGGAACTCTACGCTCTCAGGCAGGCCTTAGAGCACTGGAAGCATTACCTGCTGGGGAGGCACTTCAAGGTGTATTCAGACCATGAGACACTTAGATGGTTGAAGACACAGGCCAAGATGACACCAAAGTTGACTAGGTGGGCCGCTGAGATAGATCAGTATGACTTTGAGCTCAAGCCAGTTAAGGGCAAATACAACGTAGTTGCGGATGCTCTAAGTAGAAGATCGGACTACTTTGTGGCTATAGTTCACTATCTGGACATAGGGAGTGACCTGCAAGAGAAAGTGAGACAGGCGTATGCGCAAGACCCTATCTATAGCGACCTCCTCAAAAGAGTCAAGGAGGCCCTAGAGACCGAACCAGACTACCGCACTACAGAGGGTCTGTTATTTGAAAAGACTAATGTAGTAGACCGCCTGTGCATTCCCAACAGTGAGGAGATCCGCAGTTTGATCTTAGGGGAATGTCATGACACAGAGGGACATTTCGGTTGGCAAAAGACTTTAGCCAACCTAATGCATGCGTATACATGGCCAGGAATGAAGAACGACTGCATAGAGTATGTCCGCAGTTGCAAAGTCTGTCAGAGGAACAAGACTACTACGCGTGCTCCTCTAGGTCTACTCAGACCCTTACCTATTCCTGATCAGCCAGGAGATTCAGTGTCCATCGACTTCATGGACGCTGGTGTCAAGAGTAGGCACGGCAAGAGCCAAGTCATGGTCGTAGTTGATAGATTTAGCAAATACGCAGTTTTTGTTCCTTTGCCTGCAGAGGCACGTACAGAGTTAGTGATTCAGAAGTTTTTCGACTTTTGGGTTAGTGAGCATGGAGTCCCGTTGTCTATAGTTGGCGATAGAGATAGTCGCTTCACTAGCCAGAACTGGCAAGAGCTGATGAGAGTCTATGGATCTAAGTTGTTAATGTCGTCTGGCAGCCATCCAGAGACTAACGATCAGACTGAGCAGATGAACAAGATCCTACAGCAAGTTCTGCGCATGTACATTAGACCAGATCAAGTCAACTGCACTCCCAATGAGTTGCACAAGTCCTTTAGGCCGCGCATACCGTTTGAAGGGCTTAACCGGGATCAGATTCATAGGCTACCGCCAGGTACCAGGGAGTTCGCGATACAGCATGAGAGAGAGATAGCCATTGTTGTTGAGAACCTTAGGAAGGCCCAGCACCGAATGATAGAACAGGCTAATAAGCACCGTCGCCCGTCACAGTTTCAGGTAGGCGACCTGGTCTGGGTCAAGTCTAAAGAGTTTGCTCCTGAGGAAAACATCTCGCAGAAGTTACTGCCCGCGTATAGAGGACCGTGGCCAGTTCTAGAAGTTAAGGGCGGACAGGATGGGCCGTCCTACACGATAGAGATCCCAGCACACCTCCATACCTACCCTGTATTTCATGCATCAAAGTTGCTGCCGTGTGTCACGAGTCAAGAATATTCATCTAGGAGGTCCATGATCCCCCCAGACATGGACGGGAGATACAACATTGACGGCATTGTAGGTGAAGATGTGTTCAGAACAGGAGGTAGGGGCCGTCCGCAGCAGCAGTATAAGGTCCAGTTTGTTTATCAGGAACCGGAGGACGACCGCCGGTTCACTAGAACAGAACTTCTAGAGACAGCTCCCGGCATAGTTAGAGCCTACGAGAAAGAGAAGAAAGGTAAAGGTCCTGCCTTGGACTGAGTTATTCTCGGAGGACCTCGAATTTACGCAGGCGGGAGTGAAACGGAATCACCAGTTTGCAGTGCAGATCCCAGGGCTCGATCCCTAGTTCTTACCTTACCTGTGTACAGTATTCGTGTCGACCCCGAGAGTTGAACCCGCTACCTGTGTATTGGTAACAGTTGGTAGACTGTCGTAGGGTCTGCAGGTAGTAGGGGTTCGATCTGTAGACCTGTCGTGTAGGAGTCTTAGCCAGGTCTAGAAGTCATAGCTGTAGCTTTCTCGAAAGGTCAAGGTCGTAGCTGCTACAGTCCAGAAGGGTCAAGGTGGTAGCTGCTACAGTATCGAAAGGCCAAGTCTACGGCCTTCCGGAAGGTCCGAGTAGTGGCCTTTCGAAGTTGCCCATGTTTAGACTGAGGCAAGTGGGCAAGTGGTGGAGTCTACCCGTGCTGAATCAGCAGCCCCAGTCCCAGTCAGTCCTAGTCCAGTCAAGCAAGTACCGCATGGGACTGTGTGCACTACGGGCATGTGAAAGGGCCAGACCAACGAGCCACAGAAGTATAAATCAAGAGGCAGCGCCCAGCCATTCATTCATTCCTGCGTGAGCCATGCGGAAGCGCTGCCACAGCGACTTGTGCGAGGTGGTCTGCAGTGAGCCCGAAGACAAAGTGGGCGAGAGAGAAGGAGCTTAGCCATAGCGATAGGGTAGCAGCGGCCATAGCCGCCATAGATGTAGATAGAGTTCAGTGTGTGTGTGTGTGTGTGTGTACAGAGTATCGCGTGTGGGATATCCAGGGTGATCCTGTGTGTGCGAACAGTGAGTTGTGTGGGCGCTGAGTCGCCATAGCCATTGAAGTGAACTTGTACCTGAACTGTGTTCTCGGCTACCATATCTCTGAGTTTTGAGTGGGCGCTGGTCGCCAGTTTGCTGCGCACCTGTTTGCATGCATGAGAAGTGTGAATGAGAGCGAGTCTGATTGCACTGTGATCTTTGTGTTTTTTTACTTAAACCACCAGTTCACGCAAACCTAAGTAGTGCTCTTACCGGTGTATGCGGTAAGAGCATTTCGATTTGGGCCTGGGACAGTAGCGAAAGCGGCAGGCCAGTTTGACAAGGCGCAGTTGCAGGCTCGCAAGTCGTGGAAGGTAGCCTCGTCAATTTAGGCTCATGTGAACTGGCAGTTTAAATTAAGGACAATCGACAACCTCAAGAATTAACACCAACCAAACTGACCGGCTCCGGGTAATTTATAGTTATTCGGAGTCACTGGTACCTTTTTTTTTTTTTTTTTTTTTTTTTGTGGCCCGATGAACCACAGATCAGATATTAAACCGATCAGAACAGATACTACACTTGATCTTAGCCAAAAGGCCGAGAAAGGTATAGAGTTACTAATACCTGATAATGTTAAAGTCTGAAAAGATGAGTCCCGCGCTCTTCTTAGGACCGTTAAATCGTCCACAAATAGCATTACTGTCGGTATGTGGATTTGTCTGTTTAACCCGGCATCCAAGGCTTGTGAAAAAAAAAAAAAAAAAAAAAAAAAAAAACTAATACCTGATAATCCTGCCAGGCTCTTCCAGTACAGGGAACTGGTACTTGACCCCGGCAGTATCTTCTTTTTCAGCAGGAGGGGAGCCTCAGATGTCCCCTGGACAAAGGTACCTGAGAAGCCCTGAGCAGCCCTTGAACTCACCACCTATCCAGTGGAACTCAGGCATGCAACCACTTGACCTAACCCGATGGGACTTGTAATTATTCGTGGAAATATTCTCCTGATGCAAGGTTGCAATCCTATGCGCGTCAGAAACTGCATGCCGAGGAGTCATGGGGCCGTAGCTTTGGGCTCATCGCTGGGCTGAGGTGGGGTTTTAATTGCAGATTGAGTGCCAGGGTCAGGCTGGGGTTTAGTTTTGGGCTCAGCACTGGCCTTAGGGTGGGACGTAACTTATGCTGAGACCAGTATTCTTGTTTTTCAACAGGACATGGGCCTCAGATGCTCCTTTGGCAAAAGTACCCCTGAGCGCGTCTTGAACCCATCGCCTATCGAGCACTTTCATCCACAATAAATTCACACATTCCCATACACACATGCAATCATGAAGTAGACTTGGAGGAGGCAATTCCAAGCCAAACCGGAGAGAAATACACAGTGGAAGCTCAAAATACAAAAATAGAATGGAATTGAAAATACAACGGACACACTGAACACTGCTTGCTGGGAAGATACTTCAAGATTTATTCTGATCGCTCAACCTTGCAGTGGATGAAAACGCAGGGGGGAGTTGAATGACAGGTAGGGGAGGTACATCCAGTTCATTGACGCTTTTTGACTTTGAACTGAAACACAAAAAGGGTTGTTATAACAGAGTTTCTGATGCACTTTCTCGTAGACTTGACACGTTTGCTGCGGTTGTGCAGACTTACTCATTTGGAGATTCCACCAACAAGGCCATTGCATATGTGTTGCCTCAGGACCCAGTCTTCGGCCCTATCATCAGGAATCTGCAATTGGACCCCAATTCCGAGCCAGACTATGCCTTGACTTCAGGCCTCCTATATACAATCAGCAAGGGGGAGGAACGTTTGTGCATCCCTAATGACCACAAGATCATTACTCGTCTCAATGCAGAGAGTCATGATGCTCGCCGACATTTGGGTTTCTGAACACCTATGCTGCCTTGATCCAACGCGTCCATTGGTTAAAGATAAAGGAGGATATCCTTCAATACTTAGAGACCTGCGAGTTGTGCCAAAGGAACAAGGTCCGGGGGCGATGAGGCAAGACCACCCCTTGTGAGATGAGGCAAGTGATGGTCTGCGTTATGCTGAATTTATCCTGTTGCCTGCCGAGGCAAGAGTGCCTCTAATCAGAGATGTACTCTCTAAGAGGTGGGTGAGTATCCATGGGCACCCTCCCATGGGACTTTTGCAAACCCTTACCCATCCCTGATGGATCAGGCGAGTTTGTGTCCATTGACTTTACTGACCTTGGCAAGACCACCCCTAATGGGGTGAGGCAAGTGATGCTCTGCGTTGATCGATTCTCTAAGTATGTTGAGTTTAATAGTTTATCCCCTTGCCTGCAGAGGCAACAGTGCCTCTAATCAGAGATGTATTCTCTAAGAGGTGGGTTGAGTATCCATGGTCAACCGACCTCTATTTTTGCCAATGACAGAGACGCACGCTTTTGCAGCCATGAGTGGCGGTCCTACTATCAGGATTACCTCCACTCTCGACTTGACACGACTTCTGGTAGACATCCTGAAGCCAATGGACAGGCTGCGGTGATGAACCACATCTTATTTCAGCTGCTGCGACCTGTGATCACGCCTGTTCAGCAGGATTGGGACAAACATCTGTCCAGGGCGCAACTGATGTATAACACGTCCGTTCACAACACGATTCGATTCACACCCTACCGACTCCACTGGGGTAGAGACCCTCGACAACTTTTCTCGTTGACTTTTTAAAAAAAAAAGAAAAAAAAAAAGAAAACCCTTTGGGAGATGATAGGAGCCCCCTCCTAAAGTGAACCCTCGAGTGGAGGCTCCATCTATTGGTGGGGAGCTTCGCCTGCTGGAAACCGGGTCTACCGTCCCATTACATCGTTTACTAAACTTGCACGACATACGAGAATACGATGAAGAGCTGCTCTACGGCCCATTTCATCCTGTACCCCATTCAGGATTTCCTTTGATGGATAGTTATTATTACACCACTGGCCCCTGTACCAGTGGTAGTGATCGTCCCCTTCGTCCCCTGTATTTTTTTATATATAATTTACTAAGTCTTACTTGATATATGGAGGTAGAAAGCTTTGCTGTAAGTAGTCCCCTGTGGTTAATCCTGAATGGCTGATCCGGCTGGCCTGATTTGCAGCGAGGGCTGAGGGCCATGGTGTGGTGACAGTAGGGATGAGTGGGCATGGGTAAGAGAGGAGCGTGTGGGCAGTTGTGAAGAGGAAGTTGGGGGAAGGGACATGGGAAGAGAGGCGGGTAGGTGAGACGCATAGAAGTGCCGTTGGAGCAGATGAAGTCAAGAGAGGCTGGTAGGCGGGAGACAGAATTGTCGTTGGAGCAGACGAAATGAAGTGAGAAAATGAGGTCCTCTCGATGGCATTCTCGACAAGGCGAAGCCTAAATCGACTCCTGGTACTGCAGAATTTGCTAAGAGTTATGAGAAGGCAATAACTAATATGTTCAAATCACAGAAGAGAATGATTGAACAGGCGAACAAGCATCACTTACCTTCTCTCGTTCGTCCAGGGCACTCGGGTAATCGACTGATGAATAGGACATATCTAGGAAGTTGCTGCCTATTTACTATGGGCCATCCATGGCAGGTCTTAGACACAGTGGGTACATTTCCATTCGGTCCTTGTTATGTGCTAGCTGTACCTGCAAATCTCAAGACGTATCCGGTTTTCCATGCATCCAAGTTGGTACCTTTCACAGCAGCTGATCCATTTCCGGACAGGCCTCCTCAGTTCGGCCTCTCATTCGTCCAGGGCACTCGGGGAATTGACTGATGAATAGGACATATCTAGGAAGTTGCTGCCATATTTACTATGGGCCATGTCAGGTCTTAGACACAGTGGGTACATCTCCATTCGGTTCTTCTTATGTGTCAGCTCGACTCAGCTGTACCTGCACATCTCAAGACCTATCCGGTCTTCAATGCATCCAAGTTGCTACCTTTCACGCCAGCTGATGCATTTCTCGACAGGCCTCCTCAGTTCGTCCCTCCTATCCCTGGGAAAGGGTACGAAGTTGAAGAGATCCAGGACCAGTGGGGTACAGGCCCCAACTGTGAGTATTTTGTGAATTTCTGCTTGGACCAGTGGGGTACAGGCCCCAACTGTGAGTATTTTAGTATTTTAGTATTTTGTGAATTTCTGCTTCCAACCACATACGAGGATCGCTGATATACAGAGAAGGAACTTTTCGAATCAGCCAAGTCCGTTGTGCTGGCCTACGAAGCTAAACGGAAGGGCCTTTTGACCAGACGTTCACGTCGTGGCCACTACCACTAGCTTGGAGGTCCTTGCTCCCCGGGAGGGTAGAATGAACATGCAGATTCTCAGCAAGTTGGAATGTTAGTAGGGTTGTCTGTGTAATTTTCGTTGTTTTGGGTCCTTTCCGGTGACTGCAGCAGGCCTAACCCCTATAGGGACATTTCTGAAAACTGCTAAAATTTTCTCAGGCCCTAACTTTTCCCTTCTACGGACTTGGACTGGCACCGTAGAGACTGTCGGATTCAGGCCCGTTTCTTTTGTGCTGTTGTAGGTCCTAGGGTCCGGTGGGCAGTCCGTAGAAGGGAAAAGTTAGGGTCTGAGAAAATTTTAACAGTTATCAGAAATGTCTCTGTAGGGGTTATGCCTGCTGGAGGTACTGATTAGGACTGAAAACAACAAAAATTACAAAGAAGACCCTACTAACGTCACAACTCGCTGAGAATCTGCAAGTTTATTGCATTAGGGTGGGGTTTGCTCCGGATTCACGGCTGGGCTCAGGTTGGGGCTTAGCTTTGAGCTCAGCACTCTGCCTTAGGGTGGGGCTTAAATCACCAGTACACCCGCGCTTGGAGGCGCCTTACTGCGCGCGAAGCTTTTCCGAACCGCCAGCGGCGCACTTTCTTTCTTTTTTGGCTGGCGCTGCCAGCCATTGTGGTCCACTAGGCCGAGCCTCCAAAAATTTTGTAGGCGACGAGTTGCATTTTTTCAGCAAGGCTGGGGCCGTGTACTGGCGGCGTAATGTATGCCGGAGCGGAAGTTGTGTCCGTCTCATTGCAGACTGTACATGATAGAGGGTGTGTGGCCCTGCACTACGAGTACGCTACATGCCCTGCCTGAGCCACAACAACCTTGCAATCTTCAGTGATTGTGACCCTTGTTATGCACAGTTCAGGCACTACGGTATGCTCAAGAGAAGTCGATTGCTGGAGTGAAGTTGGAAACCGTAGACTGTTTGACTCACAGCTCTGACTGATGTGTTTGTCGTCTAATGCATCGGTCGCAGCGCTCCGAGGAGCTCATGATCTGCCTACGCCAGAGAAGAGGATGGCAAAGACTTGTGAAGAGGGCGGTACAGACACTTCGCAAAGCGGAGTACCAGGTCAGTCCCTGTGGAACACAACGCGTCGTGCCTTGTACTCTCTCCATGTTGTCCTCCTCCCCTGCTCCCATCTCCCCACAGGAATTGAACCCCTCCCCCCTCTCTACATCCCCTCTTCCTTTCCTCTTTCTGAAGGGGCAAGTAGTAGACCAGCCTTCTTGGCGACTTCTGAAATCCTTAAACCGGCCTTGTCAGAATGATTGGACATCTGCATGGTAGGGATTGTAACCCTGAAATTGTCTTTTCGACGAGGTACAGGCCGATTCGGGAATTTCTAGGTAAACCTGAACTGGTTCAGGACTTTCCCCCCTTTTGAGTTTCTTTTTGGAGTTGAGGGTAGGTCACAAAGTGGCGGTTAGCGGTTTATATGATTGACAATTTGACATCCTTATCATATGATATGATATGGGGTGTCGAGTTCTTACTTTGTCCACATTGTATGTGCCTTCCCTGCAACATGTTTTCGTGTGCATCCTGTGCGCTGATGTCGTTGCTAGGTGTGTGCTATCTGTTTGTTTGTACGTGCATGCAGTTTTTCCTATCGGAGTCTGTGTGTAACGTGTGTTAGATGTGCTTTTCATGTGCTTGTTATGCTATATGTTTGCTATGTACTGGCTATTTGTTTGCTGAGTTGGCTATGTGTTTGCTATGTATTCGCTATGTGTGTTTGCTATGTATTGCGCTATGTGTTGTTTGCTATGCATTGCGCTATGTGTTTGGTATGTATTGTGTTATGTGTTTGGTATGTATTGTGCTATGTGTTTGCTATGTATGGGCTGCACGCGTTTGCTATGTATTGGCTGATTGGCTATGTGTTTGCTATGTGTTGTCGGTACTCACGATTTGTGGTATGGTTGGCCTGTGAAGGTATGCTATGTGGACCCGGGCATTGCATCGGTGGAGGAACGAGATCGCATGAAAGAGCTGGACAGCATTCTGCAATCATACTGATCGTAGTGTCAGCTGGAGATTGAGAAACGCTTTCTGCGTGGCGGTGCATGGAAGGCAGCAATTGATGTCGCGAACTTGGAAATCCCGTCTTTTGCAACTGTGTGTGGGGGGAAGGAGAAAGCAGCCTGAAGTCAAGACATCAGGTGATGACTCCTATTCTCAGGGCAGGCAGGTAGGTGGGTAGTGGGGGGTAGGGCATCCAGCCGGGTTCTTTCGGGTCGGAATGGGCCAGCTGGACCATCTGAGCAGGCGTGGGTATAACTCCAGAAAAAGGGTTCTGAAAAGGACTGTCCGCGTGTTTGCTGACAGCGGCAGACCGCTTTCCGACTCTTTGCCCACAGCTGTCCTGATGGTCCTCGGGCGGACGGTCGGACCCAAGAAAACCTGGCTGAGTGCCCGGCCCTGCTACCTACCGTCTTCACCTGAATTGAACGGGCCCGGTCATTACTATATACCCGTAGTTGGGGCAACTTTCAATCTTAGGTGCGGCGGTCATGACGGGGGGTTCTATTCAGGTGAGGATGGTAGGTACTGGCTTTCCCAGCTCCTCGTGGATGTGGATGAGTCGTACGGCTATGGAATCGTCACACTGCGGTCTTATGGCATTGCTGTTTGCTCAAGGGAAAAGGCGGTGCAGAGAGTATCGACTCTGGATTGATGGGAAGAAGACACAGTAGACAGTGGAATGGACGACTTGGACGAATCCTCCTCGGCCCTCTTTGTGTTGTCGAGAGAAATCGCGAAGAGGGGCAGCAGAGGGTTTTGATGGAAGACATGCAGGTTACGATGATGGACTGGAGCAGAGTGTCCGACTGCTTGCTTTTCGTGCGAACATCACGGGTAATCAGATTGATGCAATCGTGACGTTCTCAGCAACGCAGTCGTGGCATTCTTGAAGATGCCGGTTTGTTCGTTCTTGATCTTCCCTCCATTATACTAAACACGCATGTCAGTGTCTGTAGCAGCATCTGCTCAGTGAATCCCAAAGAGTTATGGGAATGCAATTGCATCGTGATATGCTTGCTCCTCGTGTTTCTTTTTCTTCCTTGCTTGCTTGCTGTTCAAATATCCGTGTAGTTTGACTCTTTGTGCAGCCTACGCCTTTACCTCCGTTCTGTTCTGCCCGCTTCTTCTCGTGAAGAACTACCATCTTCACCTGAATGGATCGCACGGTCATTAAAGCTCCATTTGGGTTGCAACAGCTTTCAGTCTAAGAACAGCGATAATGACCGGGCGTGCGTTCGACTTGGGCGAAGGCGTAGGTTGTGTCCTAAGACTCCTAACTAATGTGAAATACACTGAAAGTTCACTGCTCTCTTTTAGGCCGGTGTCATTCTTTTCTTTTCACAAAGGGTAGCGTCGCCGACGTTGTTTTTTTTTCCATCAGGATTTGAAGTTTGAACTCATGATCTGTTCATCATCGATTACATGTGTGTATACCATGCATCAACAACGCAGGTACAGGTCATTGTCACCGTTTTAGCATGTACATTAATAGGTGTACTGCTTGCTGCTTCTGTTTTGTATTTGAAAGCCGAAGAGTAGACTCTTCGCTTTCGTCGCTGGTCTTCAGGTTATTAACTTATTATTGTTATTATGTTATAATATAACACATGCTTGTTCCGTTTCTATCGGCGAAAGCTGTCATTGCTGCCACAGTTCCTTCTTTGGTGTTGTTGCAAGCTGTTGTAGTTGGGAATAATTGTACTGGTGTCACACCAATCGTTGAATGTGGTACTTTGCGAACAATGGCTGGTCTTTGTCTTTGTTAATGTCGCTGCCATTTTGGTATGAGGCTATGAGCCAGGTCTTTTTTTTCTAGTGTTGCTCCCGTCTTGGTACGAACCGCTGTAGGTAGGTAATGATCGTTGTTCCTCAAAACAAGCCCAAGATACTGCTCAGCTGTGTTCTTTGCTTGTTACTTCAACAAGCTGCCATGGATGTTTTAGGAATCCATCTATCAACACCGGCGGCACAGTCCTCTCTCGATCTGAAACATACTTTCACCGAAATTTGTTTGTTAACTTTTTTTTTTTTTTTTTTTTTTTAAGAAACACCCCAAGTAGTTGCTAGGGATGCTGATAAGAGCAGTCACCACTAGCAAGCTCGGGGAGGCTCCATCTATTGGTGGGGAGCATGAATTGGCGTGCATTGTTTGCGTGATACCTTGCACGTTCATTCAACTTCATTGACAGACAGCCTTTTCTTTTTCTTTTTTCTTTTTCTTTTTTTTTCTTTTTTTTTTTTCTTTTTTTTTTTTTAAGAAGAAGAAGAATGCTCCTTCCATTTCGTGGGTAGCTGCATGTGCGGGAAACCTGGGTCCAGCATCCCTGGAAAAGGCAGAAACAGTCCGTCCCTCCGGGATAGCAGCACCAAAAGAGGTCTGCAGGGCCTGGTTTTGAAGAGGGAAGGCTGGGCATTGCTTCTTTTTATAGCACCTGCTGCCACTCGTTCGAGTATTGTTGTTTGCGGTATGGAGGTCGTCATAGTGGAGCACTGTTCCATTGTTTCTCTCCTCAACATATATTTATGGATCTGGCAGCAGACAATAACAATAATAATGATAATAATATATGGATCCGAAAGCCACATGACAACACATTTGTTGAGTTTAGCCCTGGTCTGATGACTGTGGGAGTGGAAGCAAAGAGGCAAAGTTTTGGAGAGTAAAAAATTTAGTGAGGTGACACCCCGTGTATCCAAGGTGCTCAGCTCTGCAAAAGAATTGGTGTGGTCACAATCCTCGCGATGCGAATGACCTCTTGGACGTTTTGGCACAGGCGCAAGTGCTGAGAGACGGTCCTGAATTGTTGGCCGATCTTTCCCTTCGATCGCCGGACACTGTTTGCGGGAAAGTGTGGCCGATCGCCGGACACTGTTTGTAGATAAGCACGTATGTCTAAGGATATGTCTAGGGCAAGAAAAGAGCCCGCCGGCATACCATTCAAAACGTAAAATCGGGCAGAGGGCAAGTGCATGATGTGAAGCTCGCGGCGTTATGGTTAAAATTTTACCCATTTGCCAAGGGAAGAAGGAAAGATCACATGAAAGATCACAAAGCTGTAAGCGGATCATTCATTGTTGATTGCTGCCGTGAGTTGAGTGCACCTTTCGTTTCGGTTGGTGTCATTTTTGCCTCGAGGGAAAAGAAGCACACAAGGCATGCACGGTGTCAACCTAGGCTACCAGCCGGGCCGTCCAGGTCATGTTGTTTTCCCCGGGGGGGCCCGGCCATGCAAGGACCAGGGAAGGTCCCAGCGAAACAAAAACAAATTTAAAAAATAAAAAAACATCCGGAAAAAAAAACTATGTTATGCAGAAAAATATTAAAATAAACTGAACAACTTTTGCCTCAGGGTCACATCGAAATTCTTTACCAATTTTTTAATAAAAAATCATATGAAAAATTTTAAAAATATGTTTTTTACTTTTATTTTTTGTTTTTCATTTTTTTTTCCTGGTCCGGACGGGCAAGTGGCCCCGGGCCACTCTGGTAGCCAAGGTGTCAACTGAAAAATTCAGGGTTTTTTGGCTGAACGTCGCGAACGATGCAAATCAATTGCAAACCAATTGCCTGCTTTGCACAATGTGTGTGTGTGTGTGTTACATGCCTCTCTCGGCACCACCGCAACCAGAAAATATCAACAGTCGTCTCTTCTTCCAGGAAAAGTTGGAAAACCTATCCCTCCAGCACTTGAATCTAGCCGCTCTAGCGTTAACCTTGACTCGGCGTTGGAACAACAATCAATTCCACCATAGTTTCGTGACTGTGCAGTTTTTCTTTTTCTTTTTCTTTTTCTTTTTTCAGCCTTTTTATTGATTATGCAAAGCAGTTATAACTCGGATATTCAATATGGTGGACACGGAGTATTCAAATCACGAGACGTTCTAGAACTGCACAATGAGATGGACACAACTTATTTATCGCCGTTGAAGATACCTCATAGTGAAGAACTTGCTGCGAAGACTCAAGCTCGTCGTGAAAGGGGATCGCTGGAAATAACGGAGGCACAAACAAAGGCGGCAAGAATTGCTTGGTTCACACAAACTTTACAGAATGCTGTACCCGTTGCTGTGCACCTGAGATCCTAGCGCAACCGACACACTGTCTTTTTTTCTCAAAGACCTGAGTTTGTATTAGAATGGAGCCATCGACTCATCGATAGCCATCCTTCAACCGAAGTCGATATAGCCTCTCAGTCGACACAGCGCCAATAGCTGGCATTTCAACACTGCTTCTCCAGAATCAACCGATTCAGCAAAATTAGGACTGGTTTTCAAGCGCTGACGGATTGGCGAGTTGGACGTTGAAACGCAGTGTGCTTGTTGGTTAGGGGGTTACATATGGAAAAAAAAAAAAAAAAAAAAAAAAAAAAAAAAA